TGCATAGTGCTATTGAACTGACAAAATGAGAAATCTGTTTGTTGAACTGATATGTGTCAGACAATAGAGAACACAGCAATTCCTAACACAGTCCAATTTTGTAAAAAACGTATTAAGCACCAATGTTTATTAATATATTTACTTTGGCCCTTATGAGTCTATGTGGGGTAAGCATTTAAAAGGAGGGATGTAAGGCCAGTAACTTGCCTAAGATGTACAGATCTAGTGAGTCTGCCAAGGCAGAAACTAGGAGACCTCCGACACCCTCAGAGGGACACACAGGGGAAGTCAATGCTGTGCGACGCACTGACAGAGCTGCACATTCCAAGCCAAGCACCATGTCTGAGAACAGTTTTCTCTTTACTTTTCAAACTCTTCTGCTTGGTCACCTTGCTTTTGCACGGTGTCCCTCATGACAGTGCATTTCACGCTCCTTCAGGAGGCACAGACCTCTTTATTCAGAAGCCCTAGAAGAACGGCAGCCACATCAGTTTGGCGCCCACGCTCATGGTAAGGTGGGTTTGATTACACCCATCAGCAGCAGCCTGAATCTATATTTAGTTTATCTCCACACAGGGCATGAACATCCATATGGAATTAAAATGAGCCATCTTCAAACTACTGCGTTCCTGCCACAGGAGCTGGAGGACTCCACCTCTCCTCCCCTCCAGGAGGACTTCCTCTTGGAGAAGAGGTGCCCAGAGGTTCCAGGCCAGTTCAACCTGAAGCCCAGACACCCAGCCAGGAGCCAGCAGGGGAGAGGTGAGCCCCTTCCCTTCCTGCAAGTGTCTTCTCCTCGCTCACGTCTCTACTCCTGAAACCAAAAACATGACACAGAGCTGCTTCTCCATGTGGGAGTGGAGGGACAGTACAGGTGGGTACCCAATACCCACCCAAGTTCAAGCTCAGAGAAATCCCAAAGGTCTGAAATCAAGACCCAACTCATGTATAGGAGTGTTTAGCTTTTGTGTTTGTTTTCATTCCTCTAAGCAGACAGCTCCCTTCTCTATGTCCTCAGAGCACTTCCTACATAAAATTATGTGTCCACTATTGTGTGTCTTAATAAAACATGAGCTTCTTACAGCCTGGGAACACATCATACCCACCCCAGTGTTTTGTCCAGCATCTCAGACCCTCACAGGAGGTGGTCAGATGACTGACTTAGACACACCTGGAATGGAAGAACTCCAGTGGTGCAGAGTTATGAAGTTGAACTGGATTCTATTCTGGCCTTGGGCTGAAGTGGCCTTGAGGGTTCTAGTTAGAACCAGACTCTGAATTCTACTTCCACAGCAAGCTCTTTCCACAGCCACTTAAGACTCAGGTTGCAAATGGAACCAGACTGAATGTTTATGGTTGTTGGTTTTTTTCTTATTATAATCTTCCCTCTTGCAATTTTCCCTGCTACCATTCCAATGTTGTCCCATTGATATTTTTCTTTGAAGAAAATATGTTATTAATCTGGGAAATCTGTGGTGAGAGTAGAATTTGCCTTTCTGCTAAAAAAGAATTTTCATTTTTATGATTGTTATTCTATAAGCACAAGGTTTCAAAATTCTTATTTTGTACTATTCAATCCCTAATTTTAGCATGAGGAAAACACTAACCTAAATCTTGCCAGGAAAGGCAAAGTTTAAGAAAGGCAAGGTTACAATAGTCTCCATATTTTTAATGCGTATACCATGTATTTTTACTGGTCAGAGGAAATATGAACTCTAATATCAAACAACATACAGTATGAAAGGTCCTACTGAGTCTGAAAATATGTTTGCGAAAGTACAGGACTCACTTTCTACTCTGCTTTCTATGTTCAGAGTAGTTGAATGTATAGCTTTGTCGCAAGGGGTAGAGCACTCTTCTTATGAGCATCCTGTTATGAAAGCTGAGCAATGCAATACATTTGGAGAGTTTTAGAAATAATAAAGTGAGGTTAAGAGAAGGGAAACCAGATTGCATAAAGCAATTCAACCTACATAAACATGTGTCTTAAATAAACCTTTCTACATGTTAATGTAGAGGACACTCCTCCTGGTTTTAAGAATGCATTTGCTTTCTTCCTTCCATCCTTTTAAAATGATGGTGGTATGACTATCAGGGCAGGAAGAGCTTTAGTTAGGGAGAGTGCTGGCATTCCTTCAGGAATGCATACCTTCTCAAAGCTGCAAAACCAAGTGGAGAATGGAGGTGGGGGCTGCTTTGGGGGAGGATACTGATATCTAGGCTGCCTCAGGCCCTCTGAGTAGGGAAATTACTTTGATAAAGGCTGCTATGAGCCATGTCTTGTGCTGAGCTGGACATTATGCTATTTAGGTCAGTAAGGTGTAGGCAGCATCACATATGTTAAATCTGAACAAACCAAAGCTCACAAAGTTTTAAGTAACTTACTGAACTCAGTGGCAGAACAAGGAGCCTTCTGGTCCCCTCACCCAGCACCAGTTTATCACCCATGTGAGTGGACAGAGTGATGCACTTGCTATGTCTCAGAAAAGCCAAGTGGGTGGATGTTTAAGGATATTTAGTAAAATGTTACACGTCTGTTTATTTTTCTACAATTTGGCTCCTCTATTGACTTTTTTGGTTGGTTATTTAAGCAGAGTATTTAAGCAAATGTCAAGTAGTCTATTAAGCAAATATCAGGGAAATATTCATAGCTGAACAGTAGAATTTGAATTCAGCTTTTCACTGATGAACACTTCTTCTCTGAGAAGCTCTTCGTCAGTGTTCCTTTGACATGTGCTGTTGGGTACAAATCATCTCTGGGTAGCTTGGTAGGGTGTTTCAGGAACATGGGGACTGGTATCTTATGAGAAAACCAGCATTTAATGACTACTTCCCAAAGGCCCTGACTACAGTCATCTATGGAGCTGTGCGAGGGTGGTGGCCTCCCAAAGGAGAGAGTCCAAAGGCTGGCTGGGAAGTAGGGTCAGGCAGGTTGTGTCATGAAAGGCACATCCTTTTGATGGGAGAAGGCTGACCATGGCTGGATACTCAGAAAGCCAAACAGAAAATCTAAGACTGGGAAGAAACTTACTTTGAAAGTAGGTGATGACCAAACTCTGCTTGATTTTCAATACCAAATCTTTTTAGCTTTTACAATGAGATTTGACACTAGAATCCACTGACGGTATTTGTCAGGAACCTTGTATAACTGCAGGTTAAGTGCTTCATATGACGTAGTGCAGAGGCTGCAGATAGCGCTGTCTGGGAAGTGCTGTCACTGGGAGAATCACCCCTGAGCCCAGTCAAGCCTTTAGGTTTAACTACTAGTTTGCAGGGTATGGAGAAGAAGGATACATTAACTACACAAGGATGCGATTAGCCAATTTCAGCATGTGGGAAATTCTATACAACAAGGGACTCAGTTTCTCTCTTCTAGCCATGACAATAAACATGCTGTAATATGGAAATCTTGGAAATAAAATTAAATGAATTAAACTACTACTAGTAATAATATCTATTCTTCAATAGACCCACCAGGTCAGAAGACAGCTAAGAAAAGTTCTGTCAGAAACTGGGCCTTTTGGTGGCGCTCCAGCACCCACCAGGACAACCAGTGCCCAACTCCACCATCGGCAAAGCCAAGACAGCTCTTTGGAGTTCCTCTGATGGATGTGTGTGAGGATGACAAGCTGCCCACCCCAATTCCGGTCGGTCTCATTTTGATCTTCTGTAGCCCTCCTGAAGAGGGCAGCTTTGAGATGTCATGTGTTCTCACCCAAACCCATCCCCAAGTAGAGAAAGAAGCCTTTAGACAGCGCCTGGCTTGGCTGAAATGTTTTGTTAGTATCACTTGAAAGTACAAAATCTGACTTAAATACTGCAGAGCCATAAAGCATGTACAACAGGGAAAACTACTCTTGTCCATTCCACTGGTTTCAGCAAAGACCCACATACACTTGCTCAGATCCATTACAATGGGCTCCGTGTATGAGCCTCTGGGAGTCCGCCTCATCCTCAGCATCCCTCTTTGTCTCCTTCCTTGAAGAGCACACTAGTCTTAAGTCTTCTCCGCCCGAATCTACTCAATCTTACAACTCAAATCTCACATAGATTTGATTTGTAATCTGAGGGTTTAAGTATAAAAAGACTCATCCTCTGGTAAATATGGATTGTTTAATCCTGAAAGAATGTGTCAAATGAAAGTCACAAATTTGGCCTGTGTTGTCTCAAATTAGTATACTGAATTGGCAGTGTTAAGATTCATTCACCATCCACTAATTCTCCAAGCACTATACTAGATGTAAGAAATTTTATGCTAGATGTGAAGAAATGTATCACACTACATTACACATTACACATCAGCTACTACCCTGGTCCTTGCATCTTTCACAGCAAAGTGATTATCATCATTCCCAAAAAATGAATAAAAAGTCCTCAGTAAAGTATGTGCTGTGCCCAAGGTCAGATAAGCAGTGTAACAGATTCCAGATTCCTTGGATTCCCTGACTCCAGCACCTGTTATCTGTCTACACTGTAAGCCATATGACAAAGGAAAGACTGATGAGCAGGGGATGCAATCTGAGGAGGAGGAGAGGGGTTTTGAGCCTGATTTTAAAAGAGGGGAGGAATACAGGAAGTAGAATTAGGGTACACAGTCACTGAAAGGGGGATAAACAAACAGAAAATGAGTGTGGCAAAGATGTCCATACTTGGGGAAGAACATTTGTGTCAGGGAATAATGAGACAGGACTAGCGAAGGAGGAGAGGGTGATTCTACAAAGGCCTCAAAGCAGAGAAGTTTGACTGCACAGTATAAATTCACTGAAAAGGGAAATCTGATTCAACAAGTGTTTAAAATGTGTCAGTGTATGAATGTTCAATGGACTGTTGGGTAGAAAATACATTTACAGACACTGAAAAAAATTCCAAATTGGCTTTAGTCCCTCTAGCTCTAGCATTGGGCCATCATACACCCTCGGTCTCTTAAAGAGAAGACAAGCTTGTGCTCTGGGCTGGGAGATGTGAAATGCCATACACTTTTCTTTTCTTCCCTTTAGGAGATGCTTAAGTTCATCAACCAAAAAGGGCCACTGATAGAAGGCATCTTCAGAAAATCAGCTAGTATAAAATTATGCAGAGCCCTAAAGGAGGAGCTGAACTCTGGGGACAAAGTGAACCTGGAGGATGAGTCTGTTCCTGTGGTGGCATCCGTCATAAAGGCAGAGAAAGTTCTAGCATTATCCACATACAGAGTGACTCTGAAACTCTGTGATAGGTCCTTCATCATCACTGCACAAGAACAATAGGTGTAACAGATGAAGGATCTGAAAAACTGGAAAATACTTCAAAAAGTCAAAACTTAAGGAAGCTCCTTTGGGTGTTAAAGTCCAATATGTTAGGTATACTGTCCTTTTTTTTATTACAACCCTCTCTCCATCTCCTGAACATTCCACGCAAAAAATAAATAAATGATAATAAATTTCAAAACACACACACACACACACACACACCCCTGTACAGAATGTACCAAAACAAGCTTTCTGCCTTTGAAGACTTTCTTACTGCCTTCCTAATGAAGGCAAAGTTTCCAAAAAAAAAAAAATCGTATCAAGCTTTTGGAAATACTTATACAAGTTTATCAAAGTAAGTAAACATCTGTCTTACAATGATCAAAACACGCTCAGTAAGGCCACTGAAATCTCTGATCATTTCATTGTCCTCCCTTTCCCTGTCTCTTAACGCCTTTTACTTTAAAAGGGAGGGCTGCACCGTGTGTGCCTTCTTTTACCTCCGTTCGCATGCTTTGTGAATGTTTGTTATGTTTAACCCACCACCCATGTCTAGAGTTACATGGTGACCAACTCCTACCACAGACCTCTTCTTATAAATCTGTCTTTTTAAAGTGGGTGCAGCAGTCAAAATTAGTTTGGAATTCTGAAAATTCAATGGATTTATATAATAAATTAATTTAGAAATGATACAGCTAAATCAGGTATCCAGTTACATTTCTACAATGGAAATCATAGAACAAAAAAGAATTTATTCAATTCAACTTGGTACTTGTTAGCAGCTCTGAACAAAAATCTGTTCATGTAGTAATGAGTACAAATAGGTTATTGAAATTAGAAACTCAGTTACATTTGGTCTTTCCTAGTCCCCTACTGTTTGGTCATAATTCAATGTATGATAAATAGCAAGTTCAGAAAGGACTTAGAGCTGACCCTATCACACTACTACTGTAATACACACTAGGTATGCAAATAGCAAGATGAATGTTGCCCTCTGTGTGTACACACATGGATTTTAAGAGTTAGGCTCTTGCCTATTTCCTATAATAAGCACAGAGTAGCAAGAGGCTGGTTACTCATGAGTATGCTTCTTAGGCATTCCTAAAGTTCTTGCTTCCTAAAGCTGACTGATCTTAATGGGAATCAGACTTTGCAAACTTGGCCTTGATAATACCATGTGTCAAATTAGAGAGTTGGTCTAAAGCAGAAATGAATATATTTATCAGTACCACACTGCGTTTGCCATTAAGGTATCTGTAGACAGCGGTCCAAAAGCAACACCCTCGGAATATTCTGCTTGAGTCATGTTCTGGCTTAACAGCACTCAGCCTCACCCATGGGCTCCACAGCACAGGGTCCAGGAAAGACGAGACACATGCTCCCAGTGCA